CAATTATGAAACAAGTTACTTCAACTTATATTAATCACTCTTGCTGGCACGGATGTTAGTGCACCCCCGGGGGGTGGGGGTCTTAGTGTAGGAGGAAACCGAAATAAAAGCTGAATTTGTGTTGTTATATTTTCAGTAAGTGACTCTTGTTTCAAAGGAAATGCAGAGGACAAAAGTGGATCGAACCTATGCCATCTTATAGATCAAGATCAATTGTAAGTACGTAGTGCACTATTGAAAATTCTTTCAAATCAAAACATAACTTAGTATTCTATGCAATATCCAAATATAGAAACTGTACTCTTTGCTGCAAGCCAGATACTCCTTTGAAAATCCAATGAAAATTCCATAAACTGTTGGACAAACGTATAAATACAAAATTATCATTGAAAACAACATCAAAACATATAGGCAACATACATACCCCCAGTATGTAATTTTTTTCTTTTTGTTAAAGATATCTACAAATATCGTTTATAATTTAGCATTAAAACTGTCAGATGTTTTAACTGTTTGCTTTGATTCAATCATACACAGTTGAAATTTGTTAATATGGTGAAAGAAATTTCATAGTGTTTTGGAAGAAAGGGAAAATATTTTGTATAAATAAAATTACAGTATTTATTTCATATTATCAAAATAAAGTGATTTGTCAGCTCTTTAAGTGATGTTTTAATCGCAGATAAAATCTCACATTCAAACTGAATTAAATATTTGTTTCTTACAGAATTGCTGGAAATGTTTCAGTTAAAGACATTGTACCTGATGACATTGAAAAAATCAAGGTTTGTATATATATACTAATGAAGGTTTTAAAGATGGAAACCTGTATAGCCTGACATTAAGATTGTCATAATGTATATAATTTCCTAAAATGTATATAACAAGTGTTTTAAGGTGAATGCATCATCATTATCACCAAATGATTTTATGGAAGCTTTACTTTGAATAAAGATTCATATAGCACAGTGAAATATTTACATTTGATGTTTTGAAGACTAGTGCAGTACATGCTCTGTGACTTAGTCAGAAATTAAAATGACCAGTAAATTGTGTCGTATACCTGTATTTTAATCACTATATTTACAGACTATATAGTGCAAATATATTTTTAGTAAGCTGACCCCACTAGACATTCATTGTTGAATCTCTCAACGGAGTACATTGTAATGGTATAGATCATAAAAAGAAATACAGAAAATGACAAGATCAGCAAAAACTGCATCCTCCATATCCAGGGGTTATGCTCACTTTCGCTCTCTGCACCCCTGGAAT